TCTGAAATGGCTGCAAGAGCCCCCGGGAGTCGGATGGCGTGTGCGATTTGGCGTGAGGGGTGGGAGCATGGAAGGAGATGAGGTGGGGACGCATCAGGAGGCTGATTCATGTAGGACCTGGTAGCGGAGGAGTGAAGAGACCTCACTCTGTCCTGTTGGTGAGGGGACTACGGGCATCAAGGGAGGAGGGCGGGAGCCCTTCCCTCTGTCGAGTGACAGGAGACAGGCCCTGCCTGCATGGGCGCCTTCTGTCTGCTCTGAGAGGGCAGCGCCCCCAAGCACTAGGTGAGGCCATGCATGTGGATGGCCACCTGGGCACCCGGCCGGCCCAGCGTGTGCTCGCCAGGGCGACTCCTAATGAGTGTGGTGATTATTAAAGCCCCGAGGGCAACCCCTAGGCCGACTGTACCCTGCCTTTCATATTCCCTGAAAATCAAAACCGTCTTCTGCTCTCTGCCCAGCACGTCGTTCCCCATCGTCCTCATGCGCCCTCCTGTCACTGTGGCTCGGTGTCAGCAGAGAGGGCAGATGGCCCTCAGGCCTTTCCGCCATAGGTGGCAGGAGGGTGGGGACTACGGGGTTCCCGCTGGCTCTGACAGCCTGCCAAGGCCAAGGTCTGGATGCCAGGGGTCAGGAGCCTGATGGAAAGAGACAGGTGCCATAAGGACACTGAGGAGGAGCACCCAGGCCAGGATGGGGGTGCAGGGAAGGCTTCCTGGGGTCGGGAGGTCCGTGCTGAGCTCTCCAGGCAGCCGGTGGTGGCGGGGTGAGGGGTGAAGTGTTCCAAACACCAAACGCATTTTGAGGCGTTTGAAATTCCAGCATCTCCGAGAGGCAGGGGTGGGTGTGGGGGATTGAAAGAAGTCAGGAGGGATGGGGTGGGTGGGAGAGAAGGAGCCTAGAGGTGGGTGGGCAGGGCAGACCAGACTCCCAGAACGATGGACTGAGGCTTAAGACAGGAACCGGAGACCCGTGTGGTGGCCCTGCAGACATGTAGGCGGTGAGAGATGATGGGTTGGTGGCAGTGAAGGTGGAGGGGAAATGCCTAAGGTCCCCTGGGTAGCACTTGACCTGGAGATGGGCCGAACTCGGACAGACACAGAGACACGAATGAGAGCTGATGCCCAGGCGTGGGGCTTGGCGGCTTGTGGGTGATGCTGCCTTTACGGAGACCCTGCGGGCCAGGAGGGGGGTAACGGAGGATGAGCTGGGCTTTGGTAGAATGGGAAGGGCCCGGGAGGTGCCCTGGGGAGACTCTCAGGAGGTCTGGAGCCCTGGTGGGAGGGCAAGTCCTGGGTGAGGTGGACCGCCCTGCGGATAGACAGAGGAGGCTTCTGAGTGCTGAGCTGCCTGAGCAGCGGTATAGAAGGAGGAGAAAAATAAAGCGAGATGTGTGAGTATATAGCTTACGGTAGGAGCCTGGGGACTGGGGTGGCATCCATCCTGGGTTTCCCTGGGCTGGCGGCCTTGGACTGGGGTTCTGAAGGATGCCCGGATGTGGGTAGTTAGGGGAGGGAAGGGAAGGGGGCGTCAAACATGGAGACAAATGTAGACTGTAACCATGTCTGAGGAAGTCAGCTGGAAGGGCTGAAGCAGAGTTAACCTTGTCACCTGCACAAGTGCCTTAACCCTTTCTCCGGCCTGCATTCGGGTGCCACATGCTCTTGGCCTGCAGGGCCATGTCTTGGATCTGCCTCTGAGATGCTGGGGTATTGTCTCAGCAGGCCAGTAGTCTTAGTAGGGAGGGGGCACTCTGTAGGAAAACAGTATTCTCCACTCTGCGAGTGTCCCCAGCCATGTGCCCCCGCCCCCCCCCACCGCCCACTACCCTGCACAAGTGGCCATTGTAAAAAGCTGCCTGTGACTTCGGAATATCTAATACTTTTTGGACTGCTTACCATGTGTCAGACCCCAAGCAAGTCATGTTCATGCATCAGCTCATCTAGTCCTCTTCATTCTCACAAAGGGGGTTCTCTTGTACCCATTTCACAGATGAGGATATTGAGGCTCAAAGAGGTTAAATAACCAGCTCATGGTCTCATACACAGCCAGAGACTTCACACTCGGGATTTTTAAGGCAGGCAGGGGGCAAGTTCATCCTTCTCCTTCTACTTCTTTTTAAATGTTTATTTATATTTTTGAGAGAGAGCACACGCGAATGGGGGACGCGCAGAGAGAGAGGGGGGGACAGAGGATCCAAGTGGGCTCTGACAGCCGAGAGCCCAACGCGGGGCTTAAACTCTCCAGCCGTGAAATCAACCTGAGCCAAAGTTGGATGCTCAACTGACTGAGCCACCCAGGCACCCCCCAAGTTCATCCTTTTAACTCATCACCCTAACATCACTTTCTGAGCAGAGGGTGGACTCTGGGCTCTGGTGGCAGCACCCCGCCTACCCCCTCCACCATAACTTGGCTGCAGGATGATGCCTCCCTTAGGTGCCCTTGAGAGAGGTGGCCCATCTCAGGGCATGACGGATTGCTGATCGTTATCCCCGTTTGGTCACTCACTTGTGTGTATTCTAGGGATCATCACCGAAATCCCTTAAACCTCAGTTTCCTTCCCTGCGAAATGGGGACCAATGGTTCCCACCTCTTAGAGTTATGCAGGGAAGATGAGATAAGGCTCTGAAGCACTTAGCATAGGCCAGGCATAAGGGAAAGGCCAAGTAACGGTGGTCATTAGAGTCTTATAACAACCCTCGTTGCCTTCTTGCACAGAGGACCCAGCAGCCACTTGGCCAGTCGCGAACAGGTGCCCGGGCGCGTGTGTGGGGCGGAGCCTGAGTACAGGGAGGATGAATCATTGACCGCCGAAGCTCTGCATTATTAATGCCGTTATTCTCAGACTTTTAACGAGGGCCGGGTTGGAAGCCCTTATATGGAAGGCGCGACGCAGCCACCGAGGCTAGCGCCTCCCGGGGTCCCGAGTTGCCATGGAGTCCAGCGGGCGACCCGGAGGAGGATGCCCGCGGCAGTGCGCAGAAGGAGGCCCCCAGCGCAGCAGGTCCTCGGTCTGCGGCCTGAGTCCTGGCTGCGCCGGCTTCCTCCTTTGCAAGGGCGCTTGCCCGCTCCCCTGGGACCCTGGGGGGGGGGCCGCGGGAGAGAGATAAATTGGTGGAAGCTGGAGCCGGCTTCCTCGGGAGAGTGGGGTTTCTGTGCGGTGCCTGCTGCAGGGCTTGAGCCCCCTGCCATTCCAGAGAGAGGACGCGCAGCCGGGCGGAGGGGACGTGAAATCCAGTCCCCGCCGCTCGCCGAGCTGTGCGCCTTCCGTGCGCGCCGGCGTTCGGCCGGCAGACGAGCCGCCCAGCCCCTGCCGCGCCACCTCCTAGGCGGCGGCCGACTCAGGGGGCGAGTCCCGGAGAGGAGGGGCCGGGCCTGGAGCGACGGGTCCCGGGGGCGGGCAGACGCCGAGCCGGGCCCCGCGCCTGCTTTCGCCAGCCTTCCCCAGCCTGCCGGGCTCGGCGGGGCGGGGGG